CTGGGCGTGATGATGACAGGAGGGTGAAGACACGAGAGTGGTGGCAAATGCACCTGTTCGTAGAGGGAAGGGAAGTCAGAAGTCAGTGGAATGGGGGACAGACTTCTCTTTAGTGGATATAAAGACTTTGATTTTCTATAAACCAGAACAGGGCAGGGTGGATAAGGGACAGCAAAGGAACTCTGTACGTCCCCATAGCTGGGATCTAACATGGCTCTCCATGCCCCAAGGCGGTTTTCTGTGCCATGGCCCAGGCCCACCATCCTTGGTGACCACAGCTGTGGGACGCCCCCTCGAGATGGCCCGAGCCTGGTGCTGTGGATTCTTTTTACTGGAAAATGCCTACCATGGATGCTTTGGCCCTTGATTTCTACTCCAGCCTGATTGGACCCATTACCAAGATGGGGCCTGCCTGTATCTGTGGAGCTGCGTCCCTTCCTCTTGGCAGGAAAGCCCCACGTAAGCGCATCCCTGGAGCCTGAGCGCTGCTCTCTGGAGTGGGATTAACGCCCTGGCACGGACTTCACGAGTAACTGTGACTCAAATCTCGTGATTCCTGGTTCTTAGGGTAACAGTAACCACCGGGATAATTCACAGTGAACCCTGAATGTTTCCTAATAAGTAATCTGCTCCACAATTATTCCCCCTGGACAGACACCACACTTTTTCCACCGACTCTAGACTTACCCACAGGGAACAAGTTGAAAACTCAATATATTCTTCTATTACCAGTAATAACATTTTCATACACAAAGATCCGAAGGTTTCTATCTGTTTGGCTTACCTGCCTAGCACAGTCAAATCATTTTCAATGAACAATTTTCCTTTTGCTGAAATTATTCTCATCAGAGTCATTATTTCCCACGTAAAACTTTTGATGAAGTCTTGTTTTGTTGATCAAGTTTGTTGCTCCTATCAACTAGTTAGAGCATCTATAATTAGAAATTTACTGTTAGTGACATTATATCTACCAAGTCCAATTATTCTAAATCAAATTTTGCAAATAGAAATTTTATCAAGAAGATTTGCTTCTGTCAATTTTTAGTCAATACCACATTTTTCTATGTGCAAATTTTGATTTTGTTTGATTATATTAACTATTCTTATTCACTATAAAGCAGATGAAAGACAATAGTTTGCATTTATTTTTTAGCTAACTCATGAGAATAGTCAGCTGTTTCAGGGTTGCTATATTTTAAAGGATTGGGCTACTGTATCGCTCATCCAATTCTGAATATGTTTCTATCGCTTTACGTGTTGCATTCTAACATACTCCACTGTGGCGGTGCAAGGAGCCAATGGCAGGGCCAAAATGTTTTGCTTTGCTCCAAATGGATCAATGTTTGGGTAAAAAAAGTAGGGGCGGGGGTTAAAAAAAAAAAGCTTTTTGCTCTTTTTTTTTTTCTCCTGGTTTTTTTTTTCCTATTTTCTCTCTCCCATCTCTAAACCTTTTAGCTCTTTCAGTTTCTCTGATTATCATTTAATTCTTCTGCCGCTGTATCTACGCTACTTCTCTCTTGCCTCTCGCCTCTGCCTGCTTTCCTTCTCTGTCCTTCTCCTTGGCCTTTCTCACTGGCCCGTGCTCTCATTGGGCTGTCTTTTCCCCTCGGGGTTGCTTTCTTCTTTGCCCCACCCCCACCTCCTTCCAAGAGTTGCTTATCAGAGCCCTCAATGTCATGATTATAAAGGCTCAGAAAGAAACTCTTGCCCCTGCAGCTCAGCATCCCACTGGGATCAAGTAACCACGAGAGGTTGTGAACCTGCGCTTCTTGTCTGGCTTTAAAAGCAGCACTGAGGGTGGCCCGCTTATGCGGGCTGGATTTTATGGGATCTGTCTAAAGACAGAGGGATGGATGATGCGATCTCAGGAGGGCCCTGCCAGATCAAGGAACCTGGGAGCCTCATCTCAATCATCATCAATTTAGATTTATTGGACACCCCTTGGGTACCCCGAGCTGTGCTAAATGATTTCATCCTTGAAGCCCTAAAATCCAGTTCCTGCCTTTTTAGCAGCTGTTTAAAATATTGTAATATTGGTCGGAGTTTTTACAAGATTTTGGTTTTTTCTGTGATTATTTACTACAAACCGTATTTTAAAAATGAAAAGTGAGAGGATTTAGCAATAATGTTGGAGACTGTCCTTTTTTTTTAGCATAAGATCCTGTAGATTTCCACCCCATATGGGTTCCTCTCCAGCTACTGTGAGATCAGAGGGCATACCGAAAAGTGGGCAGGATAATACTCCTGGAGAGAGTGTCTGTGGGCACTGGAGCTGGGATGGGGTGGGGCTGTGGGGAATATTTTAGGAGAGGCTGGGAAAGGAGAGACACGGAGAGAGAGCAAGCTTGGGAACTGTTTATTTAATCAACAAATATATATTGAGTGCCTACCCTGTGCAGGTCACTTTCTAAATGCTGAAGCTACAGCAGTGAAACACTATATCAAAAATCCCTACCTTCATGGAGTTTATATTTTAATAGGAAGAGAGAGCCAATAAAATGAATAAATCAAGTTGGTGACATGTACAATAGCAACAAAGAAAGCAGAGGTGGGGAGTATTGAGAGTTTTAATTTTAAAAGCGACAAAGACCTTTACTTTAGGCAATGAGCCAGTGCCAAACTCTGGGTGAAGGGTACGTACGATATTCCAGAGAAGAACCTGGGAAGCGAGAGAGAGAGAGGGCAGAAGTTTGGAGAAGGCATCAGTGACCCAGGGGAGAGGTGATGGTGACTTGGACTGGTTGGATGCAGAGGAGGTGGTGAGAAGAGGTGGGTCTGGGTGCATTTTAAAGGCAGCAGCACTGCCAGTAGCTGCTGGCGGGTTGGGTGTGGGTTGTAAGAGAGAGCAAAGGTTTGAACAACAGGGAGGATGGAGTTACCATGAACTGAGATTGGCTTGGGGGAAAGATCGCGAGGGCAGTCTGCGAGATGTTGCGTCTGCATTCTGTGCACGCGGGAAATAGTGTGGGGAAGAGCCCTTACTGAAACGAAGGCGGAAACCAAGGATGTGAGTCTTGCAGGAACTGAGATGGGTTTGGCTAGGGAGGAGATGGGGGGGGGGGACGCATGGGCTGGTGAGAGGTGAGTGTGGTGAGGAGCGCTTTCGCATCGCTTTGGCATCGCACCGGAGGCTGGGCCGAGCTGCTAAGGAGAGAACCAGTCCGCTTGCTGGTGAACACCGGCATAGGGAGGCTGGGTGAGCTGAACTGGGCTGTGCCACATGGGCTTGAGAAGGTTAGGTAAAGAGTGAAGCACTCCAGGGACAAAAGGTGGGCTGGGGGGTAAAAATACCTTTGAGGGGTGAAGAAACTGACGGAGATGGAGGTGGGCTCGGGATGTGGGCCGAGAGTTCTGGCCTCTTAAGGAAAATGTCGACGTGGCTCTAGAGAAAAAGCACAGGCGTAGATTGCATCAGTGAGGGGCAAGGGACAACCCTGGGAGCCAGGAGGGCATTGACAGTGACTGGGCTGGTCCTGGAGGCCCTGAGAAGTTAGTTCTTGCTGGCGCGCAGGCAGATGGGGAGGGGTTAGAGGTCAGGTCTGCGTGCTGGAAGGTGTTCGAGCCACGTACACACGTGCACACCCCTTTCCTCTTATAAAGCATTTCATCATTTGGGTTGTACTCTCAGCCTCGGCGTGCGCTTGAGCGTGCATGTGATTGGTGGTGGGTGTACATGCGCTCCCACATCTGCGAAGCCCTCCCCTCTTTACACAGCGAACTCTATTGGTCAGGAACTATTCGGTTTACAGATTATCCATTTTCTCTTGTTCTCTTTCCTGTTGGTTGGTTTTCTTTTGACTTTTTATTGTTTTACTACTTATGGGTCCTTTGGACAGAAAGCAAGAGATTTTTGTAAAAGTCAAACACTGAAAACATTCGTAATGCATTATTTGCAGCTCTGGCAAAAACATCAGTGGATCATCATAAAACCAATGGTTGAACCCAATTTTACAATTACGTATGGGTTAAAACGTTGATATGGCTGTGATTACAAATACTCAGTAATCTAAATGAGACAAACTCTCTTTTTTACTGTCTCTATTTTCCCTTGCCGCTTTTCTATTTCTCCCCATAGTCCCTCCATGTTCCCAGCTGGCATCAAGCTCGGGGTCCCCAGGATTCCGAACTTGAGGAGAAAGCAGCTGTTTGTGCTGCTCAGCAACCTTGACTAGGAGAGGGAAGGTGGAAAAGCGATGACGTCATTTTAAAATAAGGGGAAAGATAAAAAGAGGCTTCAGGGGGCTAAGCAATTGGAGGAAAAACCAGGCCATGTGGCTGGGAGGGGTCCCCATTCTGGTTAAGGAGAAGGGGGCACAGTAAGGAAACCTGACTCCTAGGTCCTTGGATACCATTTCTTGGACCCAGATTTTGGGAGTAGCGGTTAGGGAATCAGATGACCCTCAAGTTCCCATCCGGAAATGAGGTTCTGTGATTCTAGATCTAAGGGAGAAGGAAGGAGGAGAGAGATTGGTCAACGCGCAGCTCTTCCCACTGGGCTGGATGAGGCTTCCCAGGAGAATGACAGAGACCAACAGCCCCCCGTCCCCCTCTATCCTGCAAACGTAGATTGTCCTACATTGCCCAGTCCTGCTGACAGCGACCAAAAGGACCCTAAGCTTCATCCCTGAGGCTGCGTGGTCTGGGTTTGGAGAAAGCGGAGAAGGTAGTGAGTGGGCGGAATGAGGTGAAGGTGGCGGGAACAGTGAGGGGACAGTCCTGGGAACAATGCTCCTTTGATAAGACACTTACTGCCTGCCCCACTGCCATAGTGAAATCTGTGCTGGTTAATACCTTTCTTTCCATTTCTTTGTCTCCCCTGAACCTCTTCCCCACCCCTCACCCTGGATGTGCTGTCCTTGTCTCCCCTTCCTCGCCACCTCACCCCCTCCACGTTTGCATCGCTTCCTGCTGTCTGCCCGGCCACGGTTCCACGTGCCTCCTCCAACCTGCCTGCCTTTTCCTGCCTTCTCCCTCCCTGCTCGTGGGTGTTGGCTCCCCAGAGGGGAAGGTGTACAGCTCAGATGAGGAGAAGCTGGAGGCACCAGCAAGAGACCCAGCAGGCAGCGAGCAGGAGGAAGAGGGCTCGGGCGGTGACAGTGAGGACGACGGTTTCCTGGACAGCTCTGGAGGGGGCCCGGGGGTTCTCCTGGGACCTAAACCGAAACTAAAGGGGAGCCTGGGGACTGGCGCCGAGGAGGCAGCACCAGTGGCAGCAGGAGTCACAGCTCCTGGGGGCAAGAGCAGGCGTCGCCGCACGGCGTTTACCAGCGAGCAGCTTTTGGAATTGGAGAAGGAGTTTCACTGCAAGAAGTACCTGAGCTTGACAGAGCGCTCCCAGATCGCCCACGCCCTCAAGCTCAGTGAAGTGCAGGTCAAGATCTGGTTTCAGAACCGGAGGGCCAAGTGGAAGCGCATCAAAGCTGGCAACGTGAGCAGCCGCTCCGGGGAGCCCGTAAGAAACCCCAAGATTGTGGTGCCCATCCCAGTGCATGTCAACCGGTTCGCCGTGCGGAGCCAGCACCAACAGATGGAACAGGGGGCCCGGCCCTGACGCGCCTCCCGAGGACTTTGGAAGCCAAGGGTCGGCGCCTGAGCCTGCTCTGACACTGGGTTCAGGCTCTGCGGACCCGAGGGGCTCCCACTGTGATTCTGCCCTGGGAGGGGGCTCAGCTGGCAATGAACTTAGCTCCAGGTGCGCTCTTCTGCCAACCTGGGATGTGGGCACCTGGCCCTGGGCCTGTTCCAGAGACCCTCAGGACTGGGGCTTCAGGGTGAAAGGGGCCGGGGTTCTCAGTGCCCAGGAGCTGTGGGGACTGAGTGCGCTCCTGGGCAGGGCGGGGGGGTTCCAAAACGCGGAGGGCCTGAAAGGCTCCTGGAATCACTTTTGACAGGTGGGAGGAAGCCAGGGTGATGCCCAGCCAAGCTGATCACAGCTCCTTATTTATTTTGTGTAAAGTTTGTATATACGGACCTATCTGCCTCTGTCTGTCTGTCTGCACCCGAGAGGGACTGGGAAAGTTGTGTTTCCTCGATCCTCACCCAGAGTTTAGTGACATCTTACTGCCCCGGACTGGGTACCATCTTGTCTGTCTATAGCACAAGGACACGCAAACGAAATGGAACCGTCACTCGCCTCCTTAGAAACTCCTCAGGACACACCGTCTCCCCCCACGTAACCTCCCTCCACGTCCGTCCTTTCCCAGCGAGGGCACTGCCCCCTGCACGCACCTCTAGCCTCACGCTCCTAACTGCATGCACTTTTTTTCACCCATTGGACAGGCAAGCTTCTGCCTCTTCTTTTTGGAAATGCTGGCTGACTTCAGGGTAGAGGAGTCACTCCCTTCTGGATTAGAGGAAATGAAGTACTTGACCCGAGTTTAGCTGGGTTATGTCCAGGCCCTAACTAGGTAGAGGTGACCAGTCCTGTTAGTGACGGGTGGGCTGGGGCCTCCTCCTCACCACGCTTTGGTATTCCAGACATGAGGGCCTGGAGCGAAATCCCCATTTCCAGTTCTCTGTTTCTTATGGCATTAATTATGGTCTCTCCTTCTCCCCATCACAGCGTTTACAAAGCTCGGGATACCAAATCCTCTTCAGTTAGAAAACGAGGTTGGTTGAGAAGGCCCCCTGCAGAGTGGATGAGGCAGGAAAGACCCTGTGATGGTTCTGGAAGGGCACGTACGTACTGTGGGGGAAGCTATGGAGACAGGCACGCGAGGCTTTGGGATTGCAATGCCTGAGGCTTTGGGATTGCAATTCTGTGAGCAAATTAAGGAACAGCATCAGTGGACCCTAACTTAGCGAGTTCTCATCCTTCAAGAACAGCTACATGGGTTTCCCCTCGGTTTCCCTTCTAGAAGAACTAAGGGACAGAGGGTCAGGCGGGGGCTCTGGACTCTGCCCCAGCCTGGCAAGATGAGCAGCGTTCAGGCGACTCTCCTGCCACCCGTGACCCACTCGTCCCCTTCCCTCCAAAGCTGCGCCTCGGCACGAGCCCCGAGAAGCGCCGCCCTACTAAGCACTTACCTGCGGCGGCCCCAGAACTCTTCTCCTGTGAGTTGACGCAAACATCTCTCTGTCCATCTGCCTCGTTCCCAGGCTCTCAGGGAGGGGACAGTGCGTACGCCCGCCCTTTTGGTGACCTTTGGCCAGTGCATGGCAGGGCAGGGGGTTACTGCCATGACAGAATATTGATGAAAATGAGGAGGCTGGCTGGAAAAGCTGTGTGTGGGGGGTGAGTGGGAGAGAAACTCCCAGAGCTCCCATCAGGGTTCACGGCCAGTGCTGCTGACAAACTCAACTACACCCCAGCAGGAGGGCTGGAAGAAACACCCCCGGGGCCTCAAACCAACTGAGAGGGGAGAAAATCCCAGGGTACAGACAGTGGAAGTGAGAAGACGGGGATAAAGTAGAAGAGATGGGGGGCACCTGGGGAGGGGCAGAGAGATACAGGGGAAACAAGGCCACACACACGGTCTGGTTTATTGGCTCATCATACACGCACACCAAATATGTACACAAACATAAATATTCCAATGTACAAATTTACACGGGACTCACAGATCACCCCCTTATCGCTCATCCAGCACCCCAACCTGTGCCCTGGTGGCTCCGCTTTAGGATGAAGGTTTGCGGGGGGGCTGGCACGAGAGGGTAGGAATCTGGAGGAGGGCGAGGTCCTGCTCCCCTCTCCTCCCAGGTACCTCCAAAGGGTCCTGTCCCTTCGCAATGGCACCGGAGGGCAGAGGCTAAACACCTCCACACCGTCTGCTGCAGTTCAAATCCCAGACGTCTCCTCTGAGCGTCTCCCCCATTTAGCTCTTCTCCTCGTTGACGCTTTGTTTTCCTCTCCTTCTTCCTTTCTGCGTGTCCCTGCCGCTCATTCTGTGTCTGTTTCCCCAGTGCCTGTGGGGAGGACGGTCCCCAGGCTACGCAGTCCTTCTGGCCCCTCTGCCTGGGCCTCAAAGGAGGCTAGGACTTCGGTGCAGCTCAGCAGAGGTGTTGGTGCCGTTGGCAGGCTCTCTGTTGGGGGCAGGTGTTAAGCCACAGCCCTCCCCAGGGCAGCCATGCTGGATCAAGATGTCTGCACACTCCTGGCTGCCGGCCCGGCGAGCGTAGGCCAGTGGAGTCAGGCCCCGGGCGTCCCGGCTCCGCACGTCCACCCCATACTGCAGAAGAAAGCACGCGTTCCCGGTTGGCATGACATGGCAGGAAAGGTGGGTTCTTGGGGAGGAAAAGGGGAGGTGGCTTTCAAAGGGCTGGGGTACACAGGACGCCAGAGTGGTCAGAGGAGCCCGCGACTCACCCAGATGAGCAGCTGTGTGAAGACGACGTTGGCCATGGCGCTGGACAGGTGCAGCGCCGTCCGCCCGTCCCCGTCCCCATAGGTCTCGTTCACCTCCTCCTTGGACCCGTGTGCCAGCAGCGTCACCAGCAGCCGCAGGTCGTCCTCCACCACGGCCCGAAGCAGCTGCTGCCCCAGCGGCACGTCCGAGCTCGGCAGTGGGGCCAGGAAGAGCTTCTGTTCGTACTTGGCCCGTATCCAGCGCTCCTTGTCCTCTCTGCAATCACAGGTCCACGGAGACATGAGCCGCAGAAGGGCCCGAGGGCGAGGGCCAGGGAGGGTGGCCAGGCAACGACAGAAATGCCCCAGAAGGGAACAGGGAGGAAACAGAGAAAGTGGCAGAGCAAAGAGAAGCCTAAGAAACCCAGGGCCTACAGAGGGGCAGTGGGCAATGCACAGGGTGTGGAGGCGGCTGGAAGGGAGGCCCCTGGGGGCCGCAGGGGTGTGGGAGGCCGAGAGGGCAGGAAGATTCCAGGCAGGGCTCCTGTGGCAGCTTATCTGGCCCTGCTAGAACAAAGCGGGTGGGAGCCTGCACTGGGGGCCCAGCACCACCCTATCTACCACCCATTCTCCCCATCTCAGAGCTCAGGCTCCGGCCTTCTCACCACTGCGCAGATAGGGCCCTGCGCATGCGCCTCCTGCTGGCCCCCTGACCTGCTGATAACGACTGAGAAAGGGCCTGTTGTTGTGAGGCGCCTGAGTGACAGGCAGAGAGGGGGAGGGGAACCCCAAGGGGCCAACTGCCAAGCAGAGCAACGGCCAGTTTTAACCCTTCTAGCACTGTCATGGCCACTCGGCACCATCCCCGGGCTTCCCCACAGAGGAGCACCGATGTCCCCTCCCCGCCCGACCAGCTTTCAAGGTCCCATCCACTTACCTGCAGGCGTCAGGCCCTGGCTTTGCATAGCCACCCAGGGCCCCCTCCCAGACACTATTGGCCAGGGCATTGCCCATCGCGGTCATGACAGCCAGCAGCTCCGGCGGCCAGTCATCGAGGTCAAGGGAACGGACCCGGGACAGGTGAGCGCCCAGATGCCGGTGGGTCCCTGAGCACTCGATGCACATCAGGGCGCCAAGGTTCAGGCTGGCCCAGTCTGGATCTAGGTGAGGACAGGAAGCGCGATGAAGCCCCCAGGCAACCGGTGAGACCAGCGGGACAGTCCTCCCTGCCCTCCTCCTGGGCCTCCCGAAAGCCTCCTGTGCACTTTCTCTAAACCGCCCCAACCCTGGCCCTGCCAGCCCCAGCCCTGGCACTCACTGGGGGCATCGCAGTCAATACAGAAGCTGTTGCCACGCACGGTACGGACGGCCTGCACAGCCAGAGCTGTATTCTGGTTCCCCAGTCGAGTCTGCCACGGCGGGAGAGAAAAGGGGTGGCTGGTCAGTCGTAAGACCACCTTTGGGTCCCACCCCACCAGGGCCTCCATGCCAACCTTGTCCTTGGCACTGCGGCAGGCCTGCAGGCTGGCGAGGATCTGGGCCTGCACACTCTGTACCCACAGCTCCCGCTCCTCTGCTGTCGACGCCTCAAAGTGCCACGTCTGTCCCGTGAGGGACACCACCACAAATTCAAACGACTCCTCTGCCTCTGTGGGGGACGGGAGCATTTACCACCATCACAGAAGCATGCCACCCAGAGACATGCCATCACCACGAGTGCACTCACTGCCCTGCTTTCCTGGCACTCCTCCACCTCCCCGGCCCCAGCCTCAAGGACCAGGCCTCCAGGACAGCTTGCAAGGGGGTGGGGGGCCGGGGGGGACAGGGAGCAAACTTGCAAATCTGGTGGGAGCCTCAAGCCTCCATTCCTGACCACCTGTGGAGCCTGGGTGAAAAAACTGACGGAGGCGCAAGGTTTGGGCATCAGTGGCGCTGCCAGGAATGGGCCTAGAAATCAGAAAGGGGTGCTTCCTGGAGAAAGAAGAGCTGAGCATCAGGAGAAGGATGCAGTTGGGTGCTAGGAGGCGATGCTGGGAGAGGGTGGGGGAAGGCGGGTGTGGGCACCATCCGTACATGTCAGCTGCAGCCGCCTCATTTTGCAGCTCATTAAACCCAATATTCCTGACGGCGTCAGCGTGGGGCTCCTGGGAGCTGGGCCCCTCCCCCGCCACCCTGGCATCCACAGGCAGGAAGGGCAAGTGCATGGGAGAGGGGAGGTTTTCTCCACGAGCTAGGGTGTGCGAGCAGGGAGGGACCCAGGGACATGTGCAGTGACAGGCACTGTGGGCTGGACTGTGACCCCGAGCAACGTGGTCAAGCTGTTCCAAGCCCGGCTCCCCCAGGCCCCATGAGTCTCATTCCCAGTGGTCACCGCCCCATGGGTGAACGGTGCTTAACAAGCAGTGTGAATGTGTCATGGGGCTGGAGAGACAGCTCAGGTACCTGTGGGCGAGCCACATGTTGTGCCCAGGGCTGCCTCTCACCTCAATGACACTGGCACCCCCTGGAGTCCTCCTGCGCTAAGGGTACGCGTCACAGAAC